TGACCGCACTGCTGCAGCATACATTCCACTCTTCACAGACAGCCGGATGTCGCGACGGCCCCACAGATGTCTCAAGTTGGTAAGTGCCAACCGAGCCCTCTGTATACGAGCAGACACTTTATCCGTGATGCTTGCAACTTAATTGGATCTTCGCTCAGCAGCCCACTGTGGTCTGCATACTCCAGATCAGACAATCTGTCACCTGGGAGCAAATCGATGCCACTATCCTCGCACGAGAATAAGTCTGTTTCCATGGTCAAATCTATGACAAAGTTAAATAAAAAAAGGAGAGAGGAGAAACAATGAATATCCTGATCGATTTCAATGACTGAATTGAAAATTTCCCCTCAAAATGACCGCTTCACTAAACATTTTCCCTATCTTCCCTTCTCTTATCAACACGCACGGCTACTCTGCGAACAATTCATCACTGGGATCTGAACGAAATCGAATACACACACACAGGTTGGTGATTCAGTTGTTGTGTTGCGTGAAACGGGCGCTTGGACTGAACGTCTCTACGTGCCAGTGAACGAGGTGAATGCCGAGGAATCTGCGACTGCCACGACCACGAGCACCAGCAGTAACCGAGAAACAGTCTGCATTCTTCCCTGGCCCAAAAAACTTTCTGCATCGAAAGCTTCTATTCTGGCATTCGCGTATCTTCCAGCCTATATATTGTTGCACAAATTGGCAAATGTCCAATCCGGAGACGTGCTTCTAGTTCACTCAGCCGGTGGTGGTGTGGTAAGTTCACTCGGATTACGTCACAGTTGAGCACGATTTCTTTCATTATCCAATTCCGTTTACATATGAGTATTATATTGCATCGGTTACTCGATTTGATATACTAAGTTCCCCAGTTTCGATCAGTAAAAGACAAGATACTTTGTTTGATAGGATAATTAGTGCATTGCGATAAATGTCGGTGTCAATTTTCACAGCACCAAGATATTTTGTCCCCAAACAGGTTTCTTATGGTAACGCCGGATTGTTGCTGATTTGTCAACTAATCGACCGCCTTTCAGATGTTACAGTCACGGAAGAACCCCGTTTCATCAAGTCAAACAATATTTGGAAAGTATTGAACGCAAATTATGCCTTCGTTGGAGCTAATCAACAATCACTGCCTATCGGTGCATCCAGAGTTGGAACACTGAATCAACTAGAAAANGTCAGTCAGTCAGTCAGTCAGTCAGTCAGTCAGTCAGTCAGTCAGTCAGTCAGTCAGTCAGTCAGTCAGCTGCAGTCAGTCAGTCAGTCCTGAAGGAGGGATTACACGCTTGGAAAATTAGGCCTGGTCGTGAACTGGCACTCATTCAGTGAGCATGTTCTGATCTGATCGATG